AGATCCCGGGATGTCTGTTCCCTCGGAGCTGGGTGTTCCTGGCCTGCTCCTGCCTTCTCTGAGAATACCAGTAAATGGTCCTGTAATGTGCATCTGGCAGGGCTTCAGCATCATTGCTTGTCCATTTGTCTTTCATCTACTGCCTTTCAGCTTTGCCCAGATTTAGCAAAGTTGGGGGTTGGAATAAGGAGGGAGAAATTGGTTGTGGTCTGAGGCTCTGGAAGCTGAAGGTCCTTGAGGCTGAGGAGGTGGTGGTTTGTAGATCTGTAATGGGCAAGGAGGGAGAGTGACCCAGCTGTTAAGTTAAAAGCCAAGGTGAGGGTTGTATTCATTTCAGCCTTGTGCTGTGAGACTTTCAGAGTTCAGAGGGTGCTGGGTGCTTGTCTGAGCAAAGCGTGGCTGTGGGCTGGGCAGTGACCAGGCAGGTGCTCCCACCCTTAGCCTACAACCCCTGGGATACATCCACCAGCTTTGGGGAACAGCCCCTCCTCTGCTGGCTGATGCTGCTGGTGGGGGAAGCAGAACTCTTAAATCCATTAGAAAGTCTTGGTTAGGCAGTGCTGGCTGCAGTCCAGGTGCTTGACAGCTCTGTCCCTCCCTGGGCTGTGCTGGGCTGGCTGATGCTGCTGAGGGAACGTTTCAGGCATCTGGTGGGTCCTGCTGCCCCTCTCCTGTCACACCTTGCTGGGAAACCTGAGTTGTGTTTGATGCCAGCTGTTTGACCCCAGCAGTGCTGCTCCTGAGGTCCCTGCAGGGGCACAGCTCCTTCTGAGCTGCTCTTTGGGCCTGAATCTGAAATATTGGTCGCAGTTTGCCATAAAAAGGTTTCAAATGCTTCAAATAACTTGCATGTGCACCTTCACTCCAACCTTAATGTGTTCAACTTTTATCTGCAGTGCAACAGTTTGGGGCCAGTGCCATTTGCTTTGCACAGTTGGTAATAAACATTTGAGGGATTTGGGAGGTGAAGGATAGACCAAAGCTCCCAAATCATCTCCTGTGCACAGAAAACTCGACAGGAAATCTCTCCAGGTCTGGGCACGGAGTGCCAAGGACACCCCTTGGCATTTCAGACCCTCAGGTACACTGGCTGTGGCACGAGCAGCCCGTGAGCAGATGTACCTTCAGCTCTGCCCTTGGCCTGGCAGCCCCAGCACTCCTGGAGGGAGCAGGATTCCTGCAGCAGCCCCGCTGTGCTCTGGCATGTGGCTGTGCCTGCCCGGAACGTGTGTGATGTGTGACAGCCTGAGTGCTCATTTGGAGGGCAGGCTGTGGGGGAAGGTTCTCAGTAACCTTCAAACTGACCTGTGTCCTGCCAATGGACTTGGATCTTGGATTTCTGGAGCCATTTGTATGTGAGGAGTGTCTCTACCCTCTTCCCTTCCCTCATCCTCCTGCAGTTTTACTCTTTGCAGCCCCGTTCTCTGCATGTCAGACTGGGAGTGCTGAAGCCAATTAGCAGTGGAAGGTGTAATAAATGCAGAGAAATTCAAATTTGGGTGGTATTTTTCACACCTTCTGGTTTAAATGTGGAGTGACCACCTGGGGGGAGTTAGACATCCTTGATTCTGTTGTGCCTTTCTGGACTAAATCCTGGGTACCATCAAAACCTGGGAAGGACTGTTGTGGTCTGCTTTAGCTGAGGCACGTGGGCCGGGGGATGTTTGAGTTGTTTGAAAGTAAAACTCCCCAATGGATGTGGATCATCAGATTTTGCTTCTCTGCCTGCACAGTCCCTTTCTCTGGGTTGCTGTGTGGAAAGCTCTGTGTCCCTGATGGAATCAGCCCTTGTTTCTCGGGAGGGAGCTCTGCTGCTTTTCCCAGGGGCAAAATTGTCCTGCTTTAATGTGCAGCCAGAGGGAGTTTAATAATAAAGTAACTAAGTAGGCTCGTGGTTGTGCACAGCTGGTGTGAGGTGTCCTCAGCTGAAGCTGCAGGAGTCAAAGGTGAGGGGGAGGAGGGCACCAGGGTGTAATTTCCCTGTGACTTGTAGAAGTGCAGATGTTGCAGGATCCTCTTGAATGTGGCTTCTCCTGATGTATTTGTGTCACTGCTGCATTTGGAAGATGCTCCAGGCCATGTGTCTGCGTTGATGTTTCACTCCTGTATCAGAAAGCATTAGTTTAATTTTTATTACTTTATTTATTTTTATATTCTGAATATATATATATTTTATATTCTGAATGTCTCTCTCCTCTGAGCTCTCGGGATGCTTTAGCTGTGCTCTCCCTTGCACAGAATGTAGTTTTCTGTGCCAGTTAGCTTGTAAGCAAATACCATGATGTGCATATTCTAATGAGGGTGCTCTGGAGGTGACTTTGTTAATTAGCCCAGGATCCAGATAGAGGAAAAGGACCTGTGCTAATGAGGCATTAGCAGTTGGTCTGAAGAGGCACCAGTCCCACCCAGCTGAAGCAAAGATTTAGGAGGAGGTTCTTGGGGTTAGTGGAGCTGCTTTTTTTTTTTTTCCCTACAGTTTAATTGCTCTGTTTTTGCTGCTCAGCTCGTGTTTCCTTTTGCTGAGCACGGCACTGTAAACAGAGGTCCTGGATCCTGCAGGCCTGGCCAGGAGCTGGGAGAAGAGAACTGAACCCCTGGAGAGGAGGGGGGGCTTCTCATGGGTCACTGCTGATTTCTCATTTTTGGGGAAAAAGGCCTCCCAAAAAAGTCTTGTGATTACAAAAAAGTTTTGACGATGACTGAGCTGTAATAAATTGGAAAAAAAACCCTTTTTTTTTCTTAATGTTTTCTCTAGATTGTGTCTGAGGTTGATGGCAGTATTGTACAGAAATTGAAAAAAAGAATCTGAACCTGATCTCTCCAGTGATTTTGGAAAATGTAAAATGTTAAGACAGTAGGGATTGGGGAAGCTGTGTTGGTTATGGGTCCCTTATCTCTTACTGGCTCCACTGTGGATTATAAGAGGGGGAATTAAAATCAGTAGTGCTGTGTTGCTTTTTTCAGCAGCCACCCTTTGGGCTAAAGATCCCCAGTGGGACGTGGGGATTTGTTCTTCCAAAAACGAGACAAATGTGGCCGGGGAGAACAATAAAGCTACTGCTGCGGGTTCAGGAGCTCTTAGAAACGACTTGTAATTTGAGATCCTCAGTTTGCAGCAGCTCCAGAGAGAGAGTCGGGGTTATTTTGGGGTCTGAATGTGAGCAGTGTGGAGGGAGGCCCCGCAGGGCTCCGAGGGCTTGGAAGCAGCTGTGGGACGTTGTATCCCAGGGCCATGTCCCAGTTTTCTCCATGGAAATGTCCATTTTGCAGCCGGGGTGTAGTTCTTAAGACTTTTAGTTGAAGTCGGGATGCTTTATGCTTTCTTTCCTTCCCCCCCCCCCCTTTTTTTCCCTCTCCTCCTTCTGTTGCATATTTTTGCAACATCTCTGGGGCTGCTCCTAAAAGTCAGTGGGCTTCCTAGGAAATGCTGCTCTAGTTCCTGTGGCAAACTGTGGCATATAAAACTGAGGGGGTTGCATGCCAAGAGGGGTTTCTGTTCAGCAGCTCTGGAGCTGACAGGTGTGGTGTTTGCATCTGTACCTCCTGAGTTGTTTTGGCAGATGGGCTGTGATGTCAGAAGAGCCTTTTGATAACGGAGAGGGTCACACATTGATCACAGCAGTGTGATATGGCCATTTGCTCTTCTTCAGTCTTTTCTTAGTGAAAATAAAGCCCAGTTTTAGTGAAAGCTTCAGTAGGCCCTCTGGCTGTGGTGGTTGGTTGGTTAACAGCTTGTAAGCACTGGTGGTTGCAAGAGTGGAGTCATCACGTGCAGCCTGTTTTAAGGCTGAGTTTTACTCAGATTTAGTTTCTGTTTGTCATGTGTGACATGTCACATGGTGGAGGCAACTCCTGTAGATGCTGAGTAACCCCCAGGTACAAACATGTCTGGTGGAACTGTGTGTGGGGTTAGTCTGTTGGTTTCTGGCAACTGGTGAAGAACGAGATTCACCGAAGGGCTCAGACTTTGACAAGGGAATTCTTTGGGATGGGAGTTGCCTTTTGTGGTGTGCAACTGCTGCCCTCGTTGCTGTAGGACTTCTGAAGGCCACGGCAGCCCCGACACACAACTCACTAGTGAGCTGATGCTTTAGGAGTCCTGCGGCTAAACTGGAGTGTGTGGTGCAGTGTGAGGTACCAGAGAGCAAATGAGGTGCTGTTGGGTGGTGGCACCAGCAGTGTCATCGTGCCTCCCTTTTTACCACCTTGCAGCACTTCTGGCTCCTTGGATCCCTGGGCCTCTTAGTCCTGATTCATTCCGATCTCTGGAGCCACGTGTGAAACTTTGATGCCTTTATTCCCCATCCCCAGTCACCTTCCTGTGTCTGCCAGAACCACAAATACAAACCCTGTGTTTGGGTGCAGTGCTGACAGAGATGAAAGGCTTTCATCCTAAACAAGTCAATTTATCCTGGGAGTCCTGGCTTTACTAATAGCAATGACCACAGAATGAATTGTGGCTTTTCATCCCTTGTTCTTCTGTCCTGTTTTAAGAGCACAAACATCAAACCACGTGTGGGAGATGTTTCTTCTGCTTCTTGCACGAATCAGCTTTGTAATGTAACTTGGATGCTTCAAAGTCGGGGAGCCTTTTAAGTTTAGGGCTGTGGTGGTTCAGTGGGTGATCTGTAGCTCTGATTTCTGTCCAAGGCAGCGTTGCTGTCCTTCAGCTTTCTTCTCATAACGGAGTTAATGGAGCAGTGTGTGGCAGGACAAGGAACCGGTGTAACTGTGTGTTTTTATGGAAGTGTTAAATGTTAACTTTGCTGCCATTGATTGAAGATTTACCCCCTTGAATCCCTTTTAGTTCCCAGAAATAACTGTCTGGGCAGAGCTGGAGGCTCTGGAGCCAAGCACATGCTGGAGCACTCCCACCATGGAGTGGTGGCAGCTGCTCAGTGCCCTCCCTCTCCTGACTGTTCCAAGGCAGGGATGGGGCTGGAAGTGAAGACCAAGAGATTTTTTTGTTAACGAGCAGGGTGATTTTGTGTCTCCCACAGGTGGCTTTGCAATAGTGTTTCTGGTGAGGACGAGCAATGGGGTGAAGTGTGCCCTGAAGAGGATGTACGTCAATAACGAGTACGACCTGCAGGTCTGCAAGAGGGAAATCCAGATCATGGTGAGTCACTGGGCTGTGCTGGGACACCACACTGCAGTGGAGTGGTGGGAGAGCCTGTTCACCTTCTGCCTCTGATCTCTGTAACATCGGGTCACAAACTGCATTTTCTTAGCAAAACCTGACTCCTGGAGTTATGTGACTGGGAAAGTCTAGTATTGAATTATTTCAAATGTAAGTAGTTCCAGTGGACAAACAAAACCTGGTAGTAAAAAACCCAGGGAGTTTCAGGAAAATGGGGGGAGAGAAAAGGCTCCCGTGTCAACCCTGTGGCCTAATGGGAAAAGGAAGAGCCGAAGAGGCAAGCATGGCTGGGGGTGCTGGAATTCAGTCTGCCAATCTTTAATTGAGAGCTAAAGTCTGTTAGACCTCATCAGAAAAGGCTGATGGTTCTGATGTAGCTGTGTCTGAACTGCAATCAGTGCAGGAATGGCAGACCCCCATCCTGAGATAAATCTATATCACAGCAGCTTCTCCTCCTTTGGGGCAGGATGAAGATTATCTCAGCATCGATGGGGTTGGGAGATTTAAACAGTAGTTTTGGGGTGGTTACTGTCAGGGCTTTCGAAATGGGAAAGTATCTGTAACGAGCTCTGGGATATTTCTCTAGATTATATATATACAGGACTTGATAGGGTAGCTGTTTTAAACTTAGCATCTCTGAACAAAGACAAAATGGAGATGATCCAAATAGATTTGCAGCCTGGTAAACATGGGAAGTGCCACTTCTGAAGTTGTATCCAAAGATATTGATGAACATTTAGAGCAGCTGCTGGTGGGGAAGGAAATATAAAATATATAAAATCCTCATTCTGTGAATTTACCACATAAGGTACAGGTTTGGGGTAGATGATCATATCAGAAACTCTTACCTGTGGCAATTCTGGGTGTAGCTTTTAATGAGGTTAATACCCTTAAAGTGAAGTGCTGGTGTTTGTGATAGCACAATGAAGCTTTGGGCATGGTTTGTCATCCCCATGGCTCCGTGGGAAAAGTTGAGATCAGATCTCACATCAAAAGTTTTAGCTGTGCTCACAGAGCTTGTTTACTTGGGTTTTACTTGCTGGTGCTTTCTGTTGCCTCTGTGTCTTTGGTGCCTTTGGAATGTGTGGCTCGCCTGGAAGGTGAGGGTGAGGAGGACCTTTCTTACTCAGCAGGTCCTCTTGCTCCTGGACTGGATCCTAGGCACTCATCTTTGTCCTAAAGGGAAACAATTCCTTCTTTCCCAGCTTTTCTGCAATAAGGAATTATTTTAAACTTTGGTTTTTGCAGCCCTACAGTGTCAGAGCAGGATGTGCCCAGCAGAACCTTGATTTCTTTTACTGATGAAGCTGAGCATCAGACTGGGCTGTGTGTGAAGCTGGAATCCCAAAGAAATGACTTCTCCCTGTAGGTTTAGCATGTTGTCCCCATGACAGGGGGGTGGAACTGGATGATGATTAAGGTCCCTTCCAGCCTAAACCAGGCTGTGATTCTATGAAAAGTCATTGATATGAGAACCTGTGCTTTAACCCACCAGGTTACTTAAAATAAGGCACTTTGAAAAGCAAGGTTAAGATTTATTTTGTTGGTTTAGTGGGTTTTTATAGTGAAGATTCAGGATATTTTTTGTCAGCAGAAGAGTGGAAGGAGACGAGAGAAGTAAGTACAACATGTCCTGCATGGCCACCACCACCATCTGCCCTGTGCAGAGGAGGAGCTCTGGGGGCTTGGCCTGGGAATGTGCCAAAATCTGACCAGTCCTGAACAGGTTAATGCACCAGGCTGGCTGTTTCTCTGCTGTTTGTCTCAAATCCTTCTGGAAGGAAAACAGGTAGAGACAGAGCTCAGGTTTGTTCAGGCTCTACGTTGTGATTAACCCAGAGTGACAGGAGCCTGTGCAGCGTGGAGGAACCAGAGCAGGAGGTTGCTGCCCTGCATGGCTGGCTCATGGCTGGAATTTCTGTGCCTTGCAGCGGGACCTGTCTGGCCACAAGAACATCGTCGGGTACATCGACTCCAGCATCAACTCTGTGAGCAGCGGGGACGTGTGGGAGGTGCTGATCCTCATGGACTTCTGTCGGGGTGAGTGTGGGCTTGGCGTGTTGGCCATGGGTGGGCTGCTCCTTCAGTGCCTGCAGGGAACTTGCACAGCATCTTCCTTTAAAAAAAAAAAGCTGCTCTAGGCCTGGCCCTTTCTTGCTGCCAGGAAGCTGTTCTGAACAAAGCAAAGCCAGAACTGGGGGTGGAGAAGTGGATTGACATGTGAGGCTGTGGGGACTCTGCTCGTGGGAGTGGTACCACCTTTGCTCCTGCCCAGGGTAGGCCTGGATCCTTTCCATTGTGAAGGAGAACCCTAAAGTACATATTGCTGTTGTCTGTAGGCTGGTCCACACAAGAAGTGGCTCTTCTAAAGCTCCCAGACTGTGGAATGAAATTTTTCTTCTCTTTATGTTGCATTGCAAGCTTTGTTCCATTTCAGCCTGACTGAGGGTTGTTCTGGAAGAAGTGTGACATGGATAATGTGAACCAAAAAGCATTCCTCTGACCTTTTTGCTTGGCTGTCTGTAGCCAGACAGGCTCTTCCAGCCGTCCCAAAGCTTTGATCTTTCTCGCTGGGATGTGGTGCTTGGAACATGACGCGTGTGCTGGGCTCAGATGCCTCTCTCAGGAAGAGTGTTTAGCAAAAATAATGTTTTGGCCAGGTGACCTCAGAAGTCTGTGGCTGGTTTGGATGGTGGCAGTCAATGCAAATAAGTATTTTTGGGCCTGTCTGGCTTTTGACTGAAGCTGAGTGCATTGCAACAAGGGCATCTAGATGTTAAAATGCCTTTAAACATGAACAGTGCAGGTTTCTGTTCTGCCACGTCTTCTTTGCTGCTTTGGGTCATGCAGGAATCTTGAGTGCCTTGCACTGGGTTTGTTTGGTGGTGAAAGGAAGATCCTGCTGTGTAGTTTGGCTGAAGGAATCATTCAGTAAGCTCTTTGTAAGCTCAGACCTAACTCTCCCAAGGAATAGTGTGGTCAGTGGGCCTGGCAGTGCTGGGGGATCCCTGCCCAGCTCCATGTGCAGAACCCACTGTGGGGGGAACTGCGAACTGAGTGACTCACAGGCACTTCCTCCAGCTGCACTGGCCAAGTTTGGGGCTGATAAGTAAAATCCATCTTTCTAAGGAGTTTCCTTCCATCTGAAAGGAGGAGAGCTGCAAGATGGCATTTCTGACGTGGCTTGCTCTTGCCAGATGCTCTGCTGAGCACAGGCCTGCCTCTGTCTGCAGCACTCAGACTGGAATGGTTGTTACACATGGATTTTCCTTTTGTGGCAAACGGTTTCCAAACCAAATCAGTGTCTTTGTGTGCAGAACCACACTCATTTTGAATGTAAAATGTTCACAGCTGTACTGTTTATTAAACTGAGTTTTTCTTTCCTACCATGGAAGTTCTCCGACACTTGTGATGTGGAGTGATACAGTTCTGTTTGGCCAAAGCCTCAGAAGGGAGTTTGTCTATATGGGGCATTCTGAGAGGGAAAGAACCTCTGGATTGTTTTGGAAAGGCCTTGACAGCAACAAAACCTCAAAGTTGAGGCCAATTCAGGACTTGTTCATGAAAACTTGGTTTTGTTTGTCTGGAGTTTCCCTTGTTACAGATGGATTTTTAATTTCTTTGCCAGTTGACAACTTCAGCCAAGCCACTGAGTGTGTGGGTTTTCTGAATGTCTCCCTCCCTCCCTCCTCTTGCTTACATGTGGCAAGCTAATCTGTGGACTGTGGGTGCCCCAGATTCAACCTTTTATTCCTCTAGTTGGACAAAATAAGTCTTACTCGGAAGAAAAAAAGAAAATTATGTGGCTTAGTCAGAATAACTTGAGTGCTGACACAGCCAGGGGAGGGTGGGCTGTGGGAGCTGGTGTGCTGCTCTGGAAGCTCTGCCTGGAGCCCAGGTGAGCTGTAACACCTGCCCAGGTGAGCTGTAACGCCTGCCCAAGTTATGCAAACCCTGGGATTTAGGGGAGGAGATGAGAACAAAACAAGCTGAGTAAGCAGACTGCAAAAAGCCTCTGGGGAAGGTTTGTTGTGAGCTTAATTTGAACTCGTGAGCTCCTCATGTGCCACCTGCAGAGCCCCAGTGTGGAGAGCAGAGCAGGACAAGCGTGTCTGGGGCACTGGGGCTCACCCTGTGTGGTGTTTGATGGGAGCTCACCCTGTGTGGTGTTTGATGGGAGCTCACCCTGTGTGCCTGTTTGATGGGAGCTCACCCTGTGTGCCTGTTTGATGGGAGCTCACCCTGTGTGCCTGTTTGATGGGAGCTCACCCTGTGTGCCTGTTTGTCCCAGCTCACCCTGTGTGCCTGTTTGTCCCAGCTCACCCTGTGTGCCTGTTTGTCCCAGCTCACCCTGTGTGCCTGTTTGTCCCAGCTCACCCTGTGTGCCTGTTTGTCCCAGCTCACCCCGTGTGCTGTTTGTGCAGGAGGGCAGGTGGTGAACCTGATGAACCAGCGCCTGCAGACCGGCTTCTCCGAGAGCGAGGTCCTGCAGATCTTCTGTGACACCTGCGAGGCTGTGGCCAGGCTGCACCAGTGCAAGACCCCCATCATCCACAGGGACCTGAAGGTGAGCTCTGTGCTCCAGGGGCCAGCAGGGAGTGTCGGAATAACCCGGGATGTGGGGGCAGTTTGGGATATAAGGAAGATGTTAAGCCCTTAGAGAGTGACCAAAGGAGGCAGCGAGGATGGGGAAGGGCCTTAATTTGAAGCCGTGTGAGGGCACTTGGTGTGTTCAGCTGGAGCAGAGGAGACTGAGGGGAGACCTCACTGCAGTTCCAACTCCGTGGGGAGGGGCAGAGGAGGGGCAGGGACTGAACTCTGCTCTGGAGGGACCAGGGACAGCACCCAGGGAATGGCTGGAGCTGTGTCAGGGCAGGCTCAGGTTGGATCCCAGGACAAGGTTCTTCCCCCAGAGGGTGGTTGGGCACTGCCCAGGCTCCCCAGGGCAGTGGGCACAGCCCCAAGGCTGCCAGAGCTCCAGGAGGGTTTGGATGATCCTCTGGGGCACAGGGGGTGACTCTTGGGGCTGGGCCTGTGCAGGGCTGAGGGTTGGGCTGGATGATCCTTGTGGGTCCCTTCCAACTCAGCACATTCTGTGATTGTGATCCTCACTGTCTGCCTGCTGCCTACGCCAGTGCCAGTGCTGTGCTTCCCTCGTTAGTAATGAGGAAAAGTGGGCATGAATACACCTCTCTATTGGAAGATAAAAAAAGAAATGAGCCTCTCATTGCTGCTCACCATATGTTTACCATCTATAGATCTCTTTAAACACAAATGTTTGTGAATAATTCTGGTTTGCACACGTGCCAGAGTGTACTTGATGAATTATTCACAGTGACTTTCTACCCCCTGAAACGCCCTGGATGATTTAAGGTTGCTCACAAAAAATATGCTATGAGGTTGTTACCTGGACCCACATTAAAAGGAGGTGTTGGCCGTGGGGCAGGAGTTATTAGGAGCTTTTGGAACTGGCCTCTAGAGCTCTGACCATGAAAGTGTGTTGTAAAACTGTGCATACTTAGCTGGGAACAGGGCTGGGCCTGCAAGGAGAGCTTGGGAAAAATCCCATGCCTGTAATCAAGCAAACAAAAAGATGTTCCCTTTCCTCTCTACAAGCTCGTAAAATGCCGGAATAAAATATTCAGCCAAGAAGGAAGGAGGCTGCTGAGCAGATTTGAAATTCAGATGTGCTTTGTGGGGCAGGTTCTATTTTCAGAGCCCTCACAGATGTTTGTTTGTGCCGCGTTGTTTTGTGGGAGCCAAAGATGCCCCCATGCCAAGGAGAGCCAGGTGGGGCAGGGGCAGGAATCCTCGGGGTCTGGGGTGGGTTGGCACGTTTGAAGTGACGGGGACCCCACTACTCAGTTGGTTTGGACAGAGAAATAACTCCTGTGAGTGTTTTCCAGAGGGAAACAGGTGGTCTCCTATCAGTTTGAGGCCTGGATTTAGAGCTGGTAAAGTCTGTGGACATCTTGCAGAGGTTTGTATAGGCCAGGAAAACTGGGATGAGAGGATGAGGAACAGGAACCTCTCCAGCTGACATCAACCCCTGCCGTTACCTTTTTGGTGAATCCCTGGGGTTTTTCACAAAGAACAAACTCATTGTGTGGCCTGGGAATGAATCTGGGACATCTGTGCTGGGTTAGTGAGTTGAGTGTTTCTTTCTGCCCTGAGTTGCAGTTGAAATGGGCTGTTGGGGTCTGATAGCCAGCTCCCACTGCCTAGATCAGGGAGGTTTTGCAAGGCCTGGCTCTTGGTAGACTGTGCCCAGAGTCAGAGTTGGCTCTTCTCTGCTTGGAATAATTTTCTGGTTGAATAGTGTATTATTTCTGTTGTGGGGACCTCTGGGGATCTAAGCACGAATGCAGAATTAATGATTTATATATATTTTGACTTTATTTGAGTTAAAACTGTCAAGGGGGAGTTGCAAAGCCAAGAGAGACTAAGGGCCAAAGAAGATCTGTACAGGCTCTGGGTGTAAGGAGGGCGTCCATCCTTAGGTGTTTTCTTGGGGTGAACATAACCCTGCTGAAGAGGGGGCAGATGTTGGTTTTGGAGGCAGCTGCCTGGGGGTTGGAGGCCTTTTGTTGCCTTGCAGCTCTTTGATGTGTCTGGTGCTGGAGGTTCCTGCCAGCAGCAGGGATCCTGTGAATGAGCTCTCAGCCCTTTCAGACAAGCGCAGCTGGAGGAGTCTCAGTGGCCTGTGGCTCTGGTTTTGAATTAACCCAACAGGCTTTGCCTGAAGCAGAACCACCTCCTGTTGGCACAGTCCCCCCTGGCGGGAAGTGACCGAGGGACAACAGCACCTTTCCCCAGAGTTTTGTAGGCAAAAGGGGCCATCTCACTGCGAGTGAGGGCCAAGAGAGGATCCCGTGTCACCCCTGTGTGTTAAGGTTTTCCTGCCTGGTCTGAGTGACTCAGGTGCTGTGCCAGCTGCATGCTGTGCAGTTCAGGCTGGGATGTTTCATTACTTCTGCTTTGGTTGCCACAAAACCAGGTGTATATTGATGCAGCTTTTTCCCTAAAATGCAGAAGCCTCTTGTGTGCTGCTGGTGCCCCAGTCCGGACCCCTCTGAGGAGGATTCACTGGCAGTATAATCTTTACTGGTTCTTGCAGGGACTTTCCTCACCCTTAGGGTTCATGGGCCGCTGCTGCTGCAGGGCAGTCCTAAAAAGTTTATTTTTGTTCTCCTTTCTGGGGTAAGATCAATTCCTGTATTTTTAGTTTAGGCCTTTTGACAGTGCAGAACAAATGGCCAAACCTTATGGCAATCTGTTATATCACTCTGCTGCTGTGTTGGAGTCTCTGTAAGAAACTAGACCTGTCAGACCCCAGAGGAGCAGGGTTTAGTGAGGTGGAGGAAGGGCAAAATCTGCCTAGGGCTGGTGATCCTGATTTACACAACTACCCCGTACCTGGGGCAGTTGTTTGCGTGGCTTGTTTTATATTTAACCTCGTCTTTCCAGTCTCACATCTCATAACTCCTGTTGTTCAGAGCACCAGCTTAGAACCAGCTTGGATTTCTGCAGGGAGAGGTCTCCCATTTCTAGCTGTGGTGCTTCTGGTGGTCTGAACCCCCCTGGTTCCAGGAGCAGGTGACTGGATGGGAGATGAGCAGATGATTTCCCTTGTAGCAGCTACACAGCAGGATGCACCAAAAACTGTGTCAGGCAACCCGGAGGATGCTGTTGATGCAAACCTCTTTCTCCTTTCCTTCCCCTACTTTTTGCAATGCCCAGGGGGTTGTGCTCTCAGGATAAGGATTTAGTTTCACCTGCTTTCCTCTTAGCCCTTGTGTGGTGTGATCAGACAGTCCCACTGTGCTGCTGTCACCTCTCTGCCTTCCATCACTCTTTGGAATGCCAAGTCTTGCCCTGATGCCACCAACAAGCCTGGGATTTGTTTGACTGGATCTGTTGAGTGTGATATGTAGAATTGTTCAGTCCTGTAATGGTAAAACCCTCCTGTTGGCCATGTTTGGAGTGTCCCTGTGCCAAAATCAGTCAGTGCTCTAAGGTGCCACGTGGCTTTTGCTCCGTGCCAGGAAATGCTCCATGAGCTGTTAGAGGGGAACAGTGAGCGGTGCCAGGGGAGAAAGGGCAGCTGAAACATCTCTGAAGAGATATGAAGGTGCTGGAAAGCAGTTAGGAAGTGTGCCCTGGTCATGCATCCCTCCCAAATCACCACCTGAGCTTAGGAATACTCGCCTTTAAGCCCTTGCTCTCAGGAGAGGGTAATGGGTGTTGAATTCACTACTTAAAGCCCCAGTCCTTATCCCTTCCCAGCATGTCTGTGCAGGGGGTTTTATACTTTAGTTCTGTTTTAGCAAAGAAGCATTTAGTTTGGAAAGACTGAAGCTATGCTCTGTAACCAACAAAACTTAAACCAACTCATTGTTTCCCTTAAAGGCTTTTGTTTGGGGTCTAAGTCTGACTTTGTGTTGAAGTTTGCAGCCAGAGTTGTAAATGCTCAGCAGTGCTGGGAGCTGGAGTGCAGCTTTTTGGGAGTTTGACCAGAAGAAGACACCTCCATACTCCTTTTAAAGACACTTTTCTCTGGCCTGGCAGGCAGTAGCAGTGATTCAGGAGCTTTGTTTTGCTGTATTTATTTTTTCCTTTTACTGGCAGTTACTGACCAAACCTGGTTGCTGGATAGTCCAGTGGTGACGTTTAACAAACCTTGCAGGACATTTCAGTGAAAAATCACCTCGGACTTCTCGACCAGATAAAGAGGGAGGACTCTTCTGGCAACGCTTGAGGAATATTTGCAGCAAAGAGGGAATAACAGTCAGTGTGGATGTGCTGGGGAGAACATCTGTGTGCAGTGCTTTATTCAAAGCAGATGGATGGCGGGGGGAGAAGGGGGATGTTTAACCCTTGGTTCCAAGCCAGCCTTCTCCCCCTCAGCTGCTCTAATTTGGCTGCGTTTTCTGATGCTTAAAATGCTGACTCCTCCTTTTTCTTTCCTTCTTGTAAGGCTCATCCTTGATGGGGAGCTCCACTTCCAAAGGTTTTTGTTAGCAGATGCTCATGTGGGGTTTTTTTCTGAACTGTATGAGCAGTGTGTCTTATCTCGCTGTTGTATCTGAGCATTTGACACTGATTGAAGATAAAGACATGAAAAATTGTGTGTTCCCTCGAGAGAACATGCTCTTAATGCCTCTGTACAGATGAGGAGTGGAGAACAGGGCTGCTCTGCTGAACCAGAGATCTGAACCCAGGGTTTTACACATTTTAAGTCTGTGTTGAAACATTCAGGCAGTTTGCTAGGTTTTTGTTATTGCATGATTAAGTGTGAGTATTGAGGGGAAGGCAGTGTTTCTGCTGATTTTATTTATTTTTTCAACTGTCCCAGGTGTTTGTTTCAGTAGTTCTTTCAGTTGCCTGATTCAAGGTACCATATAATATTTGAAGGGAAAGGGATCATCTCAGCAGCCTGGAGGAACCTTGGCTGTTCCAGCCCCTGTTCAGGGACTGTGGGGTACCCAACACCTGAGAAGGGGCACCTAAAGTGTGAGCATTTTGGAACGAGACCCTCAGGGACAGGGGGAGTGCAGGCAAAGGCCTGGAGATGTGTTTGAATTTCATACAGTACAGAAGTGTGTGTGCTGTCATGTGTTTGCCTCCTCTCTGTCCCGTGGACAGCCCTTTGCACAGCTGGGGACAGCTGGATTTGCTGTCCCCTGTTCAGATGCCAGAGCAGGGGCACAGCAGCACAGGGACACTGAGCACCAGAGATGCCACTGTTCTTGTCCTGGTAGTCCTGGCAGAGGCAGAACTGTGCTTGCAGGAGGAGAAGGGAGGGGTGGCAGGATGGAAGGCAGTGTTACAACTGTGCTTCCATCGTTTGACTTCTATTTTAGGGGCTGTGACAGAGGCCTGTTTGCTTCGCTGTCGTGTTACGCCTTCGTGTCAGATGTGTCTGAGATGTCTTCAGGCACTGAAAACCTTGGCTTGTGGAAAAAAAACCCGGAATATTTTTTGTCTGAGTGACTCTGTGTCTGTCTGTGACGCTTGTAGGTTGAAAACATCCTGCTGCACGACCGTGGCCACTATGTCCTGTGTGACTTCGGGAGTGCCACCAACAAATTCCAGAACCCCCAGACGGAGGGGGTGAACGCGGTCGAGGAGGAGATCAAAAAGTAAGTGTGCTTTGCCTTTTTAGCTCGGGCCTAGTTTGTGTTTGAAGGGTAATTTTGTCTTGTGCTGGGATTAATTCTGCTCAGGCCTGCTGCAGCAGCTTGGCTGTGCTGCATGGCAGTGTGTGCTGCAGGTAAATGAGTGCCCGGGGGAAGGTGGAACAGTAAATTGAGTTTGATGTAATTGCTTTGGAGCTGAAGGACTGAGTGTGTAATGCAGAGGAGCTGCCCCACCTTGCAGGCAGTGACCTGTTCTGTTCTGTGTGGGGTCACTCTGTCTCTGTCCTTCATTTCTCTTGGTTCCTTTGAGCTGCCAGGGATGACACAATCCCTGTCCTTCCCGAGCAGTGACTCAGGGCCCCATCTCGGCTCTGCATGGGAAGTGTCAAGCCCTGGAGGGCTTTAATCCAGCTCCTTCTCCTGTCCCATCCACAGCCAGCTGTCCTGGCAGCATCTGGTGCTCCTGGGTGCTTCTGCAAAGGGGACTTCCTTGCAGTTCAGCAGGATCTGGATCAGGGATGGAGCACACTCCTGGTCCTTGGTCTTGCTTTAGTTTTAACAACATCACTGCTGCAAACTTGCCACCTCTGTCAGTACAACATCCTGACTGGTTAGAGATGTGTGCAGAGCCTCCTTTTTGTTAGAATGCAGCTACACCTGCTTGGATTTCCTAGACTTGTTTGTTTGGAGTCATCAGAGCTCTCCTAATCCAGTGCTGCAGTCCCTTTGGAATGCCCTGTTTGTACCCTTAAGCCTACAAAACCTCTGCCTTTAGTGATGCTTTCCTGTGATCAAGGTAAGCAGCAGGCAAAGTGCCACAGCAGAAATTACAGACCTGCTGATAGGAAAGCTCATCAGGAGAATCTCTTAAACTCTGGTGCAGTTTCCAGCTGTACTGTTTGTGGGGATCTGTTCACATGAGGCAGATTCCAGCTCTGGTTTGAGGTACACAGTGGCCCTTCCCTTGCTTACAGTGGCTCTGAGCAGGAGTCCTGGTGTGAAATCTGGTTTTTAGGAGCCACATACCCAGTTACAATCTGTGATACAGTTGGCCACAGCCCTGCAGTGAGGACACTGCAGAGGACAGTCGATTACTGACCTTGTTAATACTTTGCATCCTTGAATATTTCTGTTGTAGTTCTTAAAATGACTGTGCATTTTCGTGAGTGAATTCCTTGTTTTAGAATGGATTGTGGTTACTGTTTTGGCTTTCCAGGGCAGTTTGCAGGGGTGTTTTATTGTTAGAGGTAGAGGTAGTGTTTGAGGTATGTAGCACATGATGCTGTTAAAGATTTTTTTAAGTAGATATCTTAGTATCTTTTTTCCTAAAATGAATAGGGAAAGAGAGAATTTGGATGTATTTGGAACTGTGACACAGTGAAAATGCCTCTGATACCCCTTTTGAGCTCCCTGATGGATGTTTCTCTGCAGGTACACTACATTATCCTACAGAGCACCAGAGATGGTCAACCTGTACAGTGGCAAACTCATCACCACAAAAGCAGACATATGGGTACGTATGGAAACCACTGACACCCCCAGCCAGGCTGCAGCTGCTTCACTGCCTTGAGGGCAGGGAAACTGGGCTAACCTGCTTTCCTGAAGAGCCTGGGCATTTCTGAATGAAGAGTTCCTCTGCTGATGTGTCTGATGAGTTCCTGCTGAGCAGGGGGCTGCTGGATGAGATGTGTGTGCTCCTCTCGTGTGGTTTGAATTTTTTATGTATGAAGCTCCAGGATTGAACAGGGCAAACCTGATTTCATATCTGAAGAGTTAAAGCAGAAAATTTGGAATATTTTAGTTTCTTGTGCCGGAGTTGGGGTGTAGACATGTGAGACAGAAGTTACTGTTCAGAACTGAATAGAAACCCGAGCAAATGGACCTGCTCCCCGCAGCAGTAGTGGGTGATCCTGTGTAACACAGGGCTGAGTTGGCAAACTGGCCAAAGGCCAAACTCCTGCACTGCTGTTCCTGCTGATCAGGGCAATCCTGCCATGCTCTTCGTGGTGAGAGCAGAATTCAGCTGGAGTGGAATCCATTCCTGGCTAACCTGATCCAGGGTGGAAGGCTTCCCTTCCCTTCGGATGGGACAGTGGTGGAAAAGAGTCTGTGCCGTTTGGAGCATAGAGGCAGTTCAGCAGATGTTTGGAAGTGTTTAAAGTGGTAACTGGGAGTGTTTGTGTGGTTTCTGGAGCCCTGAGCTAGGAAGTAACACAGCAGAAGCAGAAAAAGGGTTTTGATGTACAATAGCTGTGCATGTACAAGAGGGAAAATTGCTGGTGTGACACCTCCTGGGAAGAGTCCCCTGCTCTCAGGGAGCTCAGCTGGAGTTGGGAGCAGCAGCTCCTGTGGGAGCACATTTCAGCAGGAGTCTGTGGGATCAGGCACAGCACTGGGTGGGAGTGGAGAGGGAAGGTCCAGCTGTGAAAGGACAGTCAGGGCCTCAGAGGCAGCCAGAGGAGAGCCAGGATTTGCACTCCTTCCTCTGATAATGGGAAAGGTGGAGATCCAGGGGCTCTGCTCTTCCTGGCATGGCAGGAATTCTGTTCCTGTGACCCTTGGAGTGTCCAGACCAGTGTGTGTGTTGGTGGGCATAGGGAGCCTCAGCTTCCAGTCCTGTTCCAGTGCTTGTCCTGCTGCAAACCTCCCTTCCCTTCAAACCTGCTGAGGTGATTGTAAACCAGAGAGCAGTTTAATTGAGAAACCCTGTGACAAAGGAGATGAGCTGATGATGAGTAGCTTAGGATTAGGAAATGTTTCCTGTTCTCCCCTCTGAGGTGGTGGGAGTGTTTCATAATTAGCCCTTTGTGCAGAAATTGTGTTTTCTTTTGCAATAGGTGGTGGTTCTTGCTGCCAAAAGCAGCACGGCAGTGGAGGGAAGGGTGGTACAGCCTGGCAGGCTGCAGAATGAGCTGTATTTCCCTGGCATTTATTTAGAACAGCTGAAAGGTTGTTTGAACTTAAGCTTGGAAACAGTTTGGGCTTCTCTTTGTCAGAATAAATGTATTAATGATGATGGTTGCCATTTATTTGTGCTGTTTCTTTGCTTTTTTCTCTCAGTGTGTGGCAGAAAGAGGCTTTGCGTGTTCAGTGACATGAAGGGCTGTGCTCTGTGGAGCCGTGCAGGGTTGATGATACACAGTCCCCCAGAGCAGTGTCTCCCTAACAGGGGAGAGCTGAGCTCTCCATGGGTGTGTCCTGCCCTGTACCCGTGTTCCAGGTCCATCCCAGGGGTGCTGGGTGCAAGCCTGACATCACACAGGACCTGGATACCCAGGCTGGAGCCCCCTCCCTGTCTGTGCCGTGGTGTTTGAGCTGTGCTTGGCCGTTTGCTCAGTCCCTGCTCTGTTCTCTCTCCCCAGGCCCTTGGCTGTTTGCTGTACAAGCTGTGCTACTTCACCCTGCCCTTTGGGGAGAGCCAGGTGGCCATTTGTGACGGCACCTTCACCATCCCGGACAACTCGCGGCACTCGCAGGACATGCACTGCCTCATCCGTGAGTGTCTGACAGGGACAGGCAGCTCCCACGGAGCCAAAACCCAGCACAGGTGTTCTGTTCTCATGTTCTCTGCTCCCACAGGAAAACCAGCAGTTCTCCTCTCCTTTTAGGAGACTTGCTTGCCCAGGGGTTGGTTAAAGTGATCTTTTAGAAGCTTAGGAGATCACTCTTGGAGGGCCAGCTGTGACAAAGGAGTTTCTGTTTGGCCAGGCTGGGGTGAGCTCTGGGGAAGGGCAGGAACACAGACAACCGTTTGGTTTGAGTCCTACAGGAACTTGCACAATAAGCCTATTTATGCAGAAACGTATTTCTCCAGTAATAAATCTGTTTGGATAAGGAACTGAAAAGAACCACAGTGACTTAGACTAGTGATAAGAATTCATCTTCTGTGAACTGGGAAGCAGAACTGAAATGATTTATAAATAACCCACTGACTAGAGTGATTGTGTAATTAAGTGTACAATGCACTACTCTTGGCAAAGCTGGGGCAGCTCTCTTGTTTCCAGCACAGCATTTGATTTTTTCTCTTCCTAGCCACAATCTTGACTCACACAGAGTTGGATGTGTTTGCAGAGCAGCCTGGTATTTTCTTTGCTCATGTGGGGTATCTATGCAGTGGTGTCTGTGGCTGCCTTGTCCTCCTGCCCCCCTGACACACCAGGGCTGGATCAAGCTCTTCTCCCGTGGGTTTACTGGGAAGTACGAAGTCAAACCCAGTTGCTATTCCCTGAGCAGGCAGCATTTCCCCTCCTTGCCCTGGAGGCAGATTGGTCATAGCTGTGTTGGAAAATGTGTCCTGGTTCATCCTGGCTGTCTGTCCTGCCCCGTTCCCAGCTGAGCCCACGAGCAGCTCAGCCCTGCTGAGCCCTGACCTGACCAGGTGCTCTGAAGGAGGCAGAGCACCCTGTTAGCCCTGCTTGTACCAAGTGGACAATCATGGAATGGTTTGGGTTGAAAGGGACCTTAAAACCATCCAGTCCCACCCCCTGCCACGGGCAGGGACACCTTCCACTGTCCCAGGTTACTCCAAGCCCTGTCCAGCCTGGCCTTGGACACTCCCAGGGATGGGGCAGCCACAGCTCCTCTGGGATCCTGTGCCAGGGCCTCCCCACCCCAATCCCGAGAGATTCCTTCATTCTGTGCAGTCTGAGGAGCTGCCACAGCTGGCTCATGTGCATCTGTCTGCTCTGTTTCTGATGTCACATCTCTGCCTCTTCCAGGGTATATGCTTGAGCCAGACCCTGATAAGAGACCTGACATTTATCAGGTCTCCTACTTTGCATTCAAACTGGCAAAGAAGGAGTGCCCAGTGCAGAACGTCCAGGTGAGCAGAGGGGGGGACTGAGGGAGGCCTCTGTGGGAGGAGACTGGGGGGCAGCTGCTCAATGCTGAACATTTTGCTGTATTCTGTAGGTTGTTCCCCAGTTCTGTAATTAGGAGAGTAGGTTTTTTTGCGTTTCTAATTATCAGTGCTGTTTGATTTAGATTTTTGGGAGGATGAGGGCAGGAATCAGGATTTTTCATATGTTACTTATTCCTGTTTGTCCCTGATTTACCTCCTCACCCAGTCACCAAGTGTGAGGCCAACCAAGAGATCTCGTGCATGTGAACATGGAAAATTAGGCCATGCTTGGGAAACCAGTTTGATTTCCAGGCACACTCATCACAGCGTGTGTAGTTTGGGTGCAGTTGGGTTTAAACACAGCATTTTGGGGGCTGTTGGCTGGCTGGAACTTGTATTTCAATTGCATCAGTCCTTGCACAGCCATCTGCCCCTTCTCAGTGTGTTCTTAGAGGCTTAACTGAAAAATAGAGTTGACAGTTATTTTCTTATGGTGTTGTGGACACCTGTGACAGACATTTTATTTTGTTGTTTCCAGGTAAATAGAAACCTACTTTTTTGTCCCCATGTTCAGGTGGTTATTTATGGTCTTTATGAATAAGAGATGGTTTTGGTACTATTATGCCTGTGTTTTATAGCATTATTAATAAATATTGTTGCTGTTGTCCCCCAGGTTTCCTTTTAAAAATGCCCAGGTTGTGCTATGAACCTTTGTGTTCATGTTCCCTGTGTAGTAAATGGTCAAAAAGCTGAGCCTTTTCTTTTCCCCCTTGTAAAGACTCTCTCAATCTACTGTCTCCCCATGACATGAACTTTGAGGAGTTTGTCGTGTGTCCAGCATGAGGAAAAATTGCTTTGGGGATCCCCAAATCTCCCTGTTTTATTATGATGCTTTTGCAAATTATTTCTGACTCTGTTTTCTGCCCTCACAATACCAAATTGGGTGTTTTTGGGATCTGCAGAACTCTCCAATCCCTGCTAAACTCCCAGACCCGGTGAAAGCAAGTGAAGCTGCTGCAAAGAAGAGTCAGCCCAAGGCCAGGTACCCCCTGCTTTGTGCTCCCCTCTCTGTTGTGCCTGTCGTGTCTCTCTGTTGACCAGCAGGGGTGTGTTTGCTGCTTCCCTGGGGACAAACACCGCGGTCCTGAGAGCAGGAACGACCCCGGGCTCTCTGATCTGAGGGCAGCAGATGCAGACATGGGGGGGTTTGTCTGCAGGGAGTGGGATTTGGGGGATGCCTAGCAGGACTCAGCAGCTCTCTGTGCCCCAGGCACTGCTCCACAGCAGCTCCTGGAGCTCCTGCACCTGGATGGATCCAGCATACCATCCTTCCAGAGGCAGGGGAATACCTGAGAGCAGAGTCAGGGCAGAGACTGCAGTGGGCCTGGAATGGCCCCAGAGAACACAGATCTGCTGAGAGACTCAGCAGGGACTGTGGCTGAGTCTGACCTTCGACAGACCATAACCCGAGCCAGGAGTTACTGCACGAAATGACTGGGATTTCTGCAAGAGTCCTGTAATTGCTTTGGGGGAAAACACAAAAGCCCAATTGCTTCCATCTGAAGCGCCCAGTTAGTGGGGAAACCGCTGTACTCTGTGGGTTTTATCCCCTCCTGCTGCTGCTTGCTCTGCTTGTGGTTCTGTGATTGAGACTTGTAAACTGTGTTGGACAAAGCTCGGGTGTGATTTTGGTCCAGAGTGAGCAGTGCACAGTGGGCATTCCAAACCCAGCTGCTCTCCTCAGACTCTGAAATGGGATGTCTCCCATCTGCCAGTCCCAGCACGGTGTGTTTGGGTTCATGACTGAGTGCAGTTACTCTCACTTTGGTCAGGTCAGTTAGGTGTCAAGAACAATCTCCTATCATAGCCACTGTATCCACAGAAGGGCAGGGGCTGCTTCTCTCTCTTGCTCTGCCTTTTTGGAGCTCAGTAAACTCAGAGGAGTCCAATGACCTGATTCTGGGGTAAATGTACCAAAGTTAAGGTGCATCTAAAGATGGCAATTTAGACAACCCTGCCCAAAGGTACCAGCTGCTCCTGAGCTGATTTGTGTCCTTCATCTGCTTGTTCAGAACACTGAGTGGATTTAAACAATATGTTGTATCAAATATTTGAATGAACTGAGTGGTTTTGACAAGTCCCAGCTGTCCAACAGGACAAGATGCCACAATTGGCAGAGAAGTCAGAGCGACAGTGTTGGGTTAATTGTTGTGAGTGCATCCGGGAGGTTTTGCTGTGTGTGGTGTGTCCAGATGCCCACGAGTGTTTCCCCTTTCCTGGGCACACCCAGCTGGAGTGTGGAGGAGTGTTTAACCTGCTGTGTGTTCCATGCACTGGCTGTGCTCTCAGTGCTCTCCTTTTCTTCCTCCCAGGCTCACAGATCCCATCCCCACAACAGAAACGTCCATAGCCCCCCGGCAGAGACCTAAAGCAGGGCAGACCCAGCCCAACCCTGGGATCCTGCCCATCCAGCCAGCCCTGACGCCCAGGAAGAGACCCACGGCCCCGGCAGCCCTTCAGCCCCAAGGTGAGGCCGCTCTGTCCCCCTGTGCTTCCTGTGGGCCCTGTGCCCCCCAGGGCTGTGCTGCACCTTGATCTAACACCCTTTTGGGTTTTCTCTCCCAGCTGCAGGCCCGGCTGCCCTGGGCAGTGCCCAGCCTTCACTCCCTGCCAGCACCCCCCAGCCCAAAGCAGCCCCTCAGCAGCCCCCGGCCCAGGCCAAGGCAGCGCCAGCCCCGGCCCCGCAGGCACAGCCCCAGGTCCCCTCAACACAGCCCCAGGCCACCCCTCAGCATCAGCAGCAGCTTTTCCTGAAGCAGCAGCTCCTGCAGCAGCAGCAGCAGCAGCAGCAACAAGCTGCCTACTACCAGCAGCAGCAGCAGATGATGCAGGCGCAGCAGGTGGGTGAGCGCGGCCGGCTCGGTGTGTGCCTGCGGCGTCTGCAGGGCTGAGCCCTTGTATTTATGGCATTTTACAGAGGTATATTATGTTGGGGGGGGGAGTAGGGACAGGTTTTAGGCATTTTCCAGTGCATCCCCAGTTCTCCAGTAAGATTTGCTCTCTGCAGCTCCCTGAAAGGAGGTTGCAGTGAGGTGGGTGTTGGTCTCCTCTGCCGCATCTCAAGTGAAAGGACAAGAGGAAACGACCTCAAGTTGTGCCAGGGGAGGTTCAGATTAGATATTAGAAGAAAGGTTTTTCACTGAATGAGTGGTCAGGTTGTGGAATGTGTTCTCACAGTTGGACTGAATGATCTTGAAGGTCTCTTCCAGACTTGATGATCCTGTGCTACACAAGACTGGCATTTTTAGCTGTCAGTGTGGAAGGCCTTGGGATAGTTTTGTCATGTACAAACATAAAATCAGTGGTGCTGGTTGAGATGTTACAGCTCCAAGTGTTTCAGGGTCTTGAAACACTTCAGTGTTCAGCTGATGAGCAGAGGGTACAATTTATGTCCTTTTTGTGCTTCCAGAAGCCTGGGGTGCCTTTTCAAGGGTAAGATTTGGTCTGGTTTTTGGTAGACTGTGGTGATAAGGAGGTCTGTGAACACAGAGATGACACTCACATGCTTATCTGAGGTGTTTATAGCAGCACAGATCTCTGCTAAAGGATGTTTAGCAGAAGTGGAAGCAAAGGAAGTCTAAATCTTCCTATCCTGGGGAAAGGATGTGGACCTGTTAGAGCAGGTGCAGAGGAGGCCATGGAGATGATCTGGGGGCTGGAACCCCTCTGCTCTGGAGCCAGGCTGGGAGAGCTGGGGCTGTTCACCTGGAGAAGAGAAGGCTCTGGAAAGACCTTAGAGCCCCTTCCAGGGCCTAAAGGCAGCTTATGAAAAGGAGGGAGAGAGAGTTTTTATACAGGCAGAGTGTGACAGGGAAAATGGTTTTAAACTGACAGAGGATGAGGTTAGACTGGATGTTAGGAAGAAACTCTTGGCTCAGAGGGTGGAGGGGCCCTGGCACAGGTTGCCCAGAGAAGCTGTGGCTGCCCCATCCCTGGAAGTGTCCAAGGCCAGGTTGGATGGGGCTTGGAGCAACCTGGGCTAGTGGAAGGTGTCCCTCCCATGGCAGGGGATGGGGCTGGATGGGGTTTACAATCCCTTCCAACCCAAACCATTCCATGATTCTGTGAAAGGTTTAGAGTCGATAAACATGGAGGAGGGAGTTTGGGAGCACAGGACAGTCTGTGCTGGGGGAGTTTGGGAGCACAGGACAGTCTGTGCTGGGGGAGTTTGGGAGCACAGGACAGTCTGTGCTGGGGGAGCTCCATCTGGGCAGGGGTAGCAGGGACAGGATCTGATTTCAGAGCAGGAGGCTGTGTCCCACCACCCCTCTGCAGGGGGTCTGCAGGCCACTTGCAGTGCCTGTAAGCAGTGCTGTGCTGGCCCCCAGTCCTGCTGGTGGTTCCTAGTGCCCAGGCACACCTCGGGCACCTCAACCGCCGGTTGTTTCCCAGTTCCCAGGGATGCAGCAAGGAGCCCCTGCACAGCAGCAGCTCATGCAGAACTACTACCAGCAGCAGCAGCAGCAGCAGCAGCTGATGGCCCAGCAGGCAGCCATGCAGCAGAAGACAGTGGCAGCAGCTCAGCAGAAACAACAGAGCCCGGCCCAGCCCCAGGCCCAGCCCAGCACGGCCCAGCCTGCACAGCCACAGGAGCAGGTGGGAGAGCCTGGGGGAAGGGATGGGGCACTGGGATCTGGGGAGAGCCTGGGGGAAGGAATGGGGCACTGGGATCTGAGGAGAGCCTGGGGGAAGGAATGGGGCACTGGGATCTGGGGAGAGCCTGGGGGAAGGAATGGGCACTGGGATCTGGGGAGAGCTTGGGGGAAGGAATGGGGCAGTGGGATTTGGGACACTAGCAAGTGCTCCTCTGCCAGGTCCTGTGTGCTGGGTATGTGCCACATCCAGCTCTTTTTGGACCCACAGAGCCCAGGCAGTAAGTGCCAGGGGAGAATTACATTGGATATTGGGAGAATTGCTTCACCCAAAGGGTTGTCCAGCCCTGGCACAGCTGCCCAGGGCAGTGGTGGAGTCTCAATCCCTGGAGGGATTTAACAGACACGTGGATGTGGCACTTGGGGATGTGGGTTAGTGGTGACCTTGGCAGTGCTGGGGAACGGTTGGATTTGATGACCTTAGAGAGCTTTTCCAACCCAAATCATTCCGTGATTCAGGAGCCTGCTGGCCCCAGTGTGTTCATACTGAGTCCCTTGTGTCAGCACTGACCTTCCTGCCTCAGAGATGTGCAGTTGCTTGGATTTCTCTTTCCAGTGGGATGCTGGACTCCAGAGTTGTGCTCTGGGTCCACAGAAAGAAGATGAGTAATGGATGAGTAAAAGCAAATGAGAAGATCTAAGTGGCTGCTTAATGCAGCTTCTCTCCATCCCTCCCCTGTCACATTGCCACGGAAGACATGTGAGAAACTGTCTTAAAAATTAGTTGTACTTAACACATCAGGATGGGCACCAGGCACCAGAACTACTTTAGGTAACTCCTTGTTTGGAAAAGTTCTGTCTGATGTTCAGAGGAAGGCACAAAACAGCTTCCTGGCTGTTTCCAGCATTGAGATAACTTTTTAATGAATGCTATGGGAAGGAGACCTTTCAAAGGAGACTTTTGAAAGCACCGTATCTAAAAATAAATAGATCAATCATCCACTTTACTAATCATCTGAAAGTGCATCTAAAATAAATGCTCTTTACTTGATGGAAAATATGGCCTTGTGCAGGAGGAACCAGCAGCTGTCCACAGGGAGGGGCAGGAGCCTGGAGCCAAAGTGCTCTGCAGAGCTTGTGGGGGGAACCTGTGCCTTTTGTTTCCATTCCTGTGCAATCTGATCTGCTCTTCCTGCTCTGGGGAGCTCAGAGGAGTGTCCCTAACTCTAGGGGTGTGCTGGGAGGAAAGCGTGCCCAGCAGGCAGGAGGGAGCAGCCCTGTTACTGTGCTGTGCCAGGCTGCAGGGGTACAACAAACAGTATCTGATAACAACCTGCTTTGGGTACTTATCCCTGGAAGTGCTCAGGGCCAGGCTGGACCAGGCTTGGAGCAACCTGGGCTAGTTAGTGGCATCCCTACCTGTGGCAGGGGGTTGGAACAAGATGATCTTTAAGGTCTTTTCCAGCCCAAACTATTCCATGACTCTGTTCCACACTGTTGGAGTCCAGGCTGAGGGTCACTCTGTGCTTGCTGTTCGTGAGTTGCCAGTGAATTCATCTCTCCAGTGGTTCCTTTGAAGTGATACCAGGAATTCATTTGACTAATCAGCTCCATCAGCCCTGACCTGGGCAGTGCTGGGGGAGCAGTTTGCTCTGCTCTCTGATGTGCCTCAGGGCTCTGCCATGTCCCCCCCTTGCTGTTGCATTTTCAGCCCTAAGCTGGTGCTGTGGGTGGGGGACACTTGGAGCTGTTGTGTTCCTGCTCTTGTTCCTGTTCTGCTGAATGACCCAGACCAGGTCAGTTTATTGAAGTTGGTGGGAGATTTTCAGCATGTGCAGACAGGTTTTGAGTGAGGCCCATTATTACCCTGTTCATTTTAGAGCCTGAAATGGAGCATTGAATCAGGAGCTTTGCTGTGATTTGCTAGCATGAAAACAGCCTTAATTTTATTAAATCAGCTGGCTTGAAAATGAGCCTTGTTCCCCTGGTAGGCTGATCAGAATGGACACATCTGGACACTTCCACTCCTGCAGTCAGGAGGGAAAAACAGTGGTTGGCTCATTTGAAAAATGATAGTGAGGCCTGGTCTCTGCAGAGCAGAGTCTCTGAGCAGAAGATACCAAGCCAGGACCTGTCAAAACCTTTTCACGTTGGGTGATTTCAGCTTAATAAACTCTGCCTTCACTTCTGTGGTGATTTCAGTGATGCCTTTTTATCTCTCAGCACCAAATGTCCTGTTCTGCAGTGACCTACATAGTGGGATGAGGTGGGTGACCAGGAGAGGCAGGTCAGGGAGTGGGTCTGCCAGAAATGCAAAGGAAAAGCAGGACAGCTCACCATTGTTTGCCTTGTCCCACTGAGGTTCAGCACCACCCTGGGGGTGTAACTCTTTCCTGTTGCCCTCTTAGGTCTTTCCAAGTGCTTCATCTTGGTTGGAAATGGCCTGGGAATAGGGAGCCAGGCAGGGGAGGTGACATGCACAGCTTGCTGCTCCTTGCATTCCAGTTTTCCTTCTTTAAATCCAACCATGATTACCTCACTGACAGACAGACTGAAAAACCACAGAATCAGAAGTGATGCTATTGTTTATCACTACAAAACCATATTTGAAGTATTTATGGGTTTGTGAGTGTAAGAAGACTGAGGCAATGGAAAAATAAGATCAATGTGAGGAAACCCCTTTCAGTTTCCAAGGGGTTTGTAGCTGGGCTGTCTTGGCTCACACCTAAACCAAACATGCCTGGTTTTCTCCTCCAGATTTTAATGATAAATGGTGCTCCTGTGGTCTTTTGTTTTCTTTTTTTTTTTCCCTTCTCCTTAAGAGAAAGTTTTTTGCACAAGATTTCTGCACAAATCTTCCCCCCCTTAGGGATTTGGTCCCAGTCACACATTACCTGCTGAAAGCAGTGCTGCCCTTCACCAAATCCCCATTCCCTGTGTCCCCATGACAAGACTCCTGTGTGCTGTGGTCTGATTTCTTGTTTTGCCTCTGCTCTGGATCTCTGCCCCTTTGCCTGTGAGCGAGTTTGAGCCCAGCCAGCCTTTAACAGATGCTGATGGAGGCTTTGCCTCCAGAGCTGCACCACAGCAAGGGGAGAAAGTCTCTGACTGTGGAACTGTGGTAATCCTGAAAGGCTGCAAAGCAGCAAATCCCCCTTGCCATGACTCTCCTGCGTGTCTGTTTGTCCCCTCCAGCCTGTCCCCAGCCCGTGACTCCGAGGTCGGGTCCTCCAGCACGGCCCTGCTTTCCCCTCGAGGCTGCAGCTCCCCAATGAGGCCGCTCTGCTCTGCTCTCTCCCCAGGCCCAGGCGCAGCTGAGGCAGCAGCAGCAGGCTCAGAGCAGCCCGTCTCCCACGGCCCAGGGGCAGAAGCTGGGCTCCCTGACCCCGCCGTCGTCGCCCAAGGCGCAGCGCGCGGGGCACCGCCGCATCCTCAGCGACGTCACCCACAGCGCCGTGTTCGGTGTCCCCGCCAGCAAGTCCACCCAGCTCCTGCAGGCAGCGGCCGCCGAGGCCAGCCTCAACAAGTCCAAGTAGGTGCTGGGAATGTGGCCTCAGAGGGCGGGGAGGGGGCTGGGGAACCTCTGGTTGCCTCTGAGGCCTCTGAGATGGAGGCGGGCACGAACCTCTGAGGGCTGAATGAGTCTTTGCCTTCCCAAGAAAAGAGTTCAGGGCTTGGCAGAACGTTGCTGAAAAACTTGCCAAGAAGTTCTTCTGGGGGGTTCCACACCCTCCCAAAGTCCAGGGCCTTGCCATGGATCACAAGAGCCAGTGTCATTTCAGCTGTTCACCAGTAGCCCTGTGCACTCCTTGCGCTTCCTGCTTGGCATCAGTGCTTCCTGGGGGTTGGACTTGATGATCCTGGAGGTCTTTTCCAACCTTAATGATTCTGTAATTCCCCAGGAGTACTTGCCAGCTCACTTTTGTAGTATCTGCAGGCAAGAAACCTTCACCTGAGCACTGCAGGTGATTGTTTCTAAGGGGATCCTTGTTTTAACCCCTGAGACCAGGATGCTCATCCAGCTGAGGAGCAGCTCAGGCTGAACTGTTCCTGGATTTCTGGGCATGCAAGTGCAGCAACTGGTGCAGAGTGTTTCAGTTAGGAAGTAATTACAGTGCAGTAGCTTGGAGCAGCTGGTAGTGCTGGCCAGAAGATTTCAGATGGGTTATTAATGACTTGTTTGGTTGGGGTGATCACATCCAGATCTGCTTCCACCACGCCCTCGGGCTCCCCAAGGACCTCTCAGCAGAATGTCTACAACCCGCCCGACGTGTCCACGTGGAACCCGTTTGATGATGATAACTTCTCCAAGCTCACAGCTGAGGAGCTGCTGAACAAGGACTTTGCAAAGCTGGGTGATGGTAGGTCCGTGGGGATGGTTTAACATCTGCCTGCTCTGGGAAGGGAACGTGACATGGAACGGTGATGCTTTGGTCCGGTGTTCCTTAGGTGCTCCTTAGTGCTGTGATCCTCTGAGCTAAATCCTTCCCACTTCCCTTCTGTTTGCTCAGCAGTTCAGTGGTACCTCAAAGGCAGAGGTACCAGCTGCTTTTACACTGGCCCTGCTCAGTTGTCTGTAGAAGCTGCAGCTTAAACTTTGCTTCATCTGCAAGTTGGAATTTGCAGGAAGGGGCTTAAGTCACACACTGAAATAGTGTCCTAACCAATATAGATAAGCAGCCTGCTTTCAGAATGGAAGTTTTTCCCCTAACTCAGTGTCTGGCATTTCAGGGAAAGCTCCAGAAAAGGTGGGCAGTTCCACAGAGAACCTGATTCCAGGTTTCCAGCCGGCTTCGTCTGCAGCCCAGGCAGACGCGTTCGGGGGCTCCTCCTTCACCGCCGGGTCAGGTGAGTGTGTGAACGTGAACTGCAGGAAAACAGCAGCTCTTGGTCATGATCTCTTTGAAAGGGAAGTAAAACTGATATCAACTGAGCTGGGCCTTGGCACCAAGAGCTGTAGGGAATAGGTTGGCACTGCACTAGAAAGGGAAGGTAGAAGAGTGTGTGTCCTTGTCACAGTTGGGTGGCAGAGGCAGGAGGCACTGTCTGTAGGCAGAGGTGAGGCAGGAAACTAAGTGAGCCCCTTAAGTTCACAAGAAAGCTCCTTAGTGTGTTGGAGTTCCATGGAGCTCATAATTAGAGGTAAAACATGTTTTGTGCACTGAGGGAATTGGCCTCGGAGATGTTGGTCGGACACGCTGGAGCTGTCGGGCTGTTGGAAGGAGGAGAGGAGCAGGGATAGGAATGTCTCTGCTGCAGAAGGAGGCTGGCAGGGATGAGTGAGCAGGGAAGGTCCTCAGAGGACAGCACAGTCTCATAATTGACATGTGAAATGATGAAAGCAGTGAGTTCTGCACTGGCTGTGCTGTGTGGGTCCAGAGGCCCCGAGTCCTTGGCTGGTCTGAGGGGTTGCTCTACAGAGGCCTCTGCATGTGGGACCTTGTCTGGGGTCTCCTTTGGTCCTTGGGTCCCAAGGTTTTGCCCTGAGCAGCCCAAAAACCTCAGTGAGTGCTGCTGCTTGTTTGTAGTTGTTCAGCATCAGCTCTCACTGAGTGCAGCCCAGACCTGCCAAGCACAGTGTTGGAAAGCTGCTTCAGGAGCTCCAAATGCCAGTGATCCTCTCCCTGCCTTGGTTACTGGTGACAAAGACAGCTGTTTGATGCCTCCCCATGAGAGCAAAACAGCCCTTGGTGAGAGAAGTTTGGGAAGAGACTGAAGAATCCTTTGTGGGGCAAGAAGTGACAGATCCATTTACACTTATTTCTGTTTATAAAAGGAGCTTCAGAGGAGCTTGTAACTGAGCTTGGTACTGTTGGCTCTTACCTGAGAGTTAAGGAGTTAAGTCCATGGAACAGGAGTGCTCTGGGGAGTTGCTTTCTGCGTTTGTCCAGCTGTGAGCAATTTATGGTGTTCCATCAGCCTTTGTGGAGGGGTGTTGAGCAGCAGCAGCCCCAGACTCAGCTGTAATGTACCTTCTGAAAGCCTGAGGAGCATCTGCACGTTCTGGGCTTTCCAGTCGCTGTTCTGTGTTCAGTTCTTTCAGTGGCTGTCTTTGAAATGTGCCCTCGACTCTCCTGTCCTGGGCTTTGCACAGGAAGGTGTCTTGGAAACCTCGGTGCTGGGCTGGACCCTTCCAGCCCTCCTCTTTCTTTCCTCAAACACAGGAGACCAGGCCTGTCTGGTACAAGATGCTGCATCTTTTATTCCAGACACAGAGGCCTGACGTGGGCTGTGTATCCTCTGCTGAGGCTTTTCACCTTTTGTGCTGCTGTGAAGGGAGATAACAGGCCTTCCCTGCCAGGGAGTGTTTTGAGATCTGTTGGTTAAAGTGTGTTGGAGAGCTACATGGTAATAGCTGTTTGGGTTTTTTGTTTGGTTTTTTAGTCTTTTCACTGGCAACATAAACTGGATTTGAGTGCGTGTATGTTGTTCTGTCAGGCTGTTGTTGGGCTCTAACACTGAGCTGTGCCTGTGCTGAGACTGCTCGATGCCTTCTGCTTTCCTCTTCTCTGTTTCACTCTGCCTTTTCTCTTCCTTTTCTCTCCCAGCTGAAAAAACGAAAGACATTCTGAGTTTGGACTCTAGCCCTCCTCTTCTGACTGTGCCTGATCCTTTCATTCCTCTCCCATTATCCGACACGCCAGGTAACAGAGCAGAGTTTGTGGAGGGGGGCAGAGTCTTGGGCTTGGTTTTGTCCTCCTAATGTTCTGGTTCTGTTTCCAGGCACCCTGAGATCCTGGGCTCAGCCAGTGGGGCTGGGCACTGACAGGCTCAGCTGAGCTGGGGGCAGTGCTGATGTGTGTGCTTGGTTTTCCTGGCAGACTCCAGGGTTGTCTCCTTGTTCCTGATGCCAGCAGTGTTGCTGTCTTTAAAAGTTCAGTATTCAAAGGCTGGAGCACCTCTCGTAGGAGGAAAAACTGAGAGCTGGGGGAAGAGAAGAGAAGGCTCTGGGGAGACCTGAGAGCCCCTTCCAGGGCCTAAAGGAGCTCCAAGAGAGCTGGAGAGGGACCTGGGTCAAGAGTCTGGAGGGACAGGACAAGGGGGAATGGCTTCCCACTGCCAGAGGGCAGGGTTAGATGGGATATTGGGAAGGAATTCCTCCCTCTGAGGATGGGGAGGGCCTGGCACAGGTTGCCCAGAGAAGCTGTGGCTGCCCCATCCCTGGAAGTGTCCAAGGCCAGGCTGGACGGGGCTTGGAGCAACCTGGGATAGGGGAAGGTGTCCCTGCCCATGGCAGGGGGTGGCACTGGATGAGCTTTACAATCCCTTCCAACCCAAACCATTCCATGATTCTGTGAAAAATAACCACCAGGTAATTAATCACCTCCTCTGACCTAAGCTCTTTTCAAATTGGTCTCCAGCTTTGATGAAATTGTAGGTTTTATTGTTGTTAATCCTTCTTTCCTGGAAGAGTCCGTGTTTCTTTGGCTTCCACGTTCTGCTGCCAATTCGTGCATCATGTGAAGCACAAGTTACATGTGACCTTTTCTGATTTGGCAAAGTTTTCTGGTGCAGTTGGTGCTATTTCCATTTCCTTTGCAGTGCTACTTCTGTCTTTCCTCTGTGCACATTTCTGCCTGCAGCAGCCAACACTTTTTAGCACAAGATTATGTAAGTGCTTAGGAGCTTATTTGCAAATCGGTGGGATTTGGAAAATGGGAATGTTTTTATCTTGGAGTCTCTCTAAGCCCTCCAGTGACTGTATGTGACAGGTCCCTTGTCAGCGAGCCCCAGACAAGTGCTCATGGCAGCTCCCACCCTCGTCCTTAGCCCAGGCTGTGGATCACTGGGGCTGTGACCCAAACTTCAAAACGTGCTTGTGAAGGTGGCATCTCTCCATGGAGAGCTGAGCAATTCAGGAGAAAAATAAATCCCTTTTTGTCCATAAGTCTGAGGAACTTGCTTCCTTCTGGTGGATGCTCAAAGAGCACGAGGAGTGTGGTTTGGTCCAAAAGGGATTTTACATAAATGCTGCAGTTTGAGGGTAGAAGGAACTTGGAGGCTTTGTCCCCTGTATGGGCACGTGCCAGGAGTGACCTGCCCAGCTGTGACTTGAAAAGAACCCATGGGAGGCACCTGACTGCACGTTTTCCTTCCCCCCTCAAATGCTATTGGAAGTGTTGTTTTTCCTGGTTGAAATCTGTCACCCAGACCGTGTAATTCCCTGCCAGCATCATTCCCACCTCTCACAGTTGTACCCCAGGACGTTTTCCTTGCTGCCTGTTGCATTTCCACAGAGCACAGCCCCAGGGAGCAGCAGGTGAGCTCCAGCTGGGAGAGCTCTGGAATTCTCTGTGGCAGAGGAGCCCTGTGGAGGAGTTGCCTGCCAGCCCTGCCCTTGGGGGCAGCTCATCAGAGCAGCAGTTGGTGCAGTTCCTGTGGTGCCAGGCTGCTCAGCCCACAGGGCTGGCCCTGCCTGGTTGTGCTTGTGCTCTCCTGCTGCTCTCCCCATGCCTGGTCCCGTTGAGCTCCCTGGGGCCAAGGGGACGCAGAAGATGTGGCTGTGTTGGCTTCCTGCAGGTTCCTGCCAAGGCATCTCTCGTTTATTTTTACCTTTTAACATAAAACTTGAGGCCAGGAGCTCATAAGTGTTTTCAAGGGCCAGATCTGTGGACTTACCCTTAGCTTTCAAAACCAAGAGGGTTTTGCCTGCACTTGTAAATTCAACAGAAAAGATAAAAATCCTGGGATTGGACTCAGGTTTTGAGTCTGTGTCTGGCACGTAGGACAGTCATCTTTGTTCTTCTGTGTTACCTGTGCAGAACCATTCCCCAGCACAGAGAGGGGTGTGCTGACTGCAGGTGAACAGGAGTTTTAGTGGTGCCCTGTGAGTCAGCAGAGCTGGGAGTGACTCCAGTCTCCCAGTTGCACATCACCTCCAGTTGCACAACATCTCCAGTTGCACCTCACCAAGCTGCCTCAGTTCTTTGCAGGAGCAGCTGAATTTCTTGGAATGCTTACTGAATCTTTCCTTTCATTTGGAGTATTTTTATTCCTGAGAAAACCTTGATAATAGTGAATGTCCTTGCTTTGAAGACATTTTACCTTAGTCTTTATAGGCTGGGAGGATGCACAGCCCTTGCAGAAGTTCCAGTGTGAGCCCTCACCCTGTGCTGGCAAGGGCAGTGTTGTTGAGGAGGGCTTTCAGTACCCAGGTGAGGTTTTATTGGGTGTTTTCCCTGTTTGTCACACAGAGCCAGTTCTGGTAGTTCTCTGCCCTCCAGACCTGCAGCAGCTGAAGGACTGGCTAAGGCTCAGCTGCTTTTTCTGCCTAAAGCACAGCCCTGCTCCCTGTGGCACCTGGAGGTGTGGGTGGCATCACCTGGTTGTTGGCCAGAGCCCTCCTGGGCTTCTCCCCTTCCCTCTGCGTGCTCAGAAGGACAGATGTCATCAGGGGGCAGTGGGGTGGTTTTCAGTGTGTTCCTCCTCCTCCAGCGTGGACTGGCTGCAATTCTTAATGGAATTGTAACTAGTGAGAGGAGCTGGCAAGGGGGATGTGAAAATATGGCAAAACATCTGTTAAAATAAGGAGGAATTAAATATTCGTGCTGAAAACATTTTTCCTTGTGTATGTGCAGGAAAATGAGCCAAGTTGTTCTTAATGAGCTTATTGCAGGAGTCAGCACTGACTAATCCTAATGGAGTGTTGATCAGTGGTGACTCTGCGTGGGGCCACTGAGTGTCTGTGCCCAGGAATTGAGCTCCTGGGAGCTCAGGGGGCTCCTCTTTGCACGAGATGTTCTGGAGGAATTAAACTGAGTTATGCACCTGAAATTAAACTCAGTTCAGGACAAGTCTCTGTCCTTGAGGTTTTGCTCCCTGAGTGGTCCCAAGTCTGGGATTTCTAAACCTGCTTTGCAGAGCTTTGACTGAGAGGTTTGACCCAGAGCCCCTGGTGCTGCTGCTCTGGCCCATGTCCCTTATTTCCCACTGCAGCTGGAGTGTTAAATGCTGTCCTGATGTGGTTACCCACGTCAGCCATCCATTAGATGAGGTTTCACACACATCCTTTTGACTTCAGAAGCATCTGCTCACATCAAGATTTTGATAAGTGCTGTCTGGGCCCAGGGAAATGCCCTCTGAGATATTGCCACAAATGTCCCTTTCAGTTGTTTGGGGTTGGTTGGTTTGGGGTGGAAGGGGCATCTCCTCCTTATTTCCAGATAAACTCCATGTCAGTACTGAGTTAAATGCCACTGTGGCACCATGAGTCAATCTTTTTTACCCCTTTTTTAACAGAGTTTTGATCATTCTTTGTGAATTCACACAACCCTTTCCTCCCTGCAGTAATTCAGCATCAGCTGCAGCTGAGAGACAGACATGTCTGTGGTGGAGGGACTGACTTGTTTGAGGAGCAGCAGCACCAACCAGCCTCTGCCACATTGTCTTGCCCTTAAAAAATACAAGCTGAGAGGAATTCCACATCCAGCACAGCTCAGTAACCATGCAGGGATAGCTGGGGGAGGATGCCCAGGCCAGGGAAGGACGGGCACTGGGCACACACTGAACTCTTGGTTTTCATGGAAAGGCAAACACTGTTGCTTAGTGTCATGTTGGGGTTCTCCAAAGCCTTTAAACAGCACTTTAGGGATGATGTTTGCCTTCTTATTCCTTACAAATGCTCATGGACTGGTGTGTTTCCACGTTACCCTGAGGATGCTCACCAGGGTAAGGAAGTAGATGTCCTGCAGTGCAACCTCCAAACAAAACATGCCCACATCCCTGGCCTGATCTAGAGATTTGGTCAGCAGTGTGGGGCCCTGGTAACCATTCCTGCTCAAAATGGAATTGGCTTCAAAAAGCAGAGTTTTAAGCAAAGAAATGACTCTTCTCACTGTGTTGAATGTGTGGCCTTCAGGAGCTGGGCCCCAGCTTTGTCCCAGGGCAGCACAGGGAGCTGGGGGAGAGGGTCAGGCTTTTGCAATGGTTGAAGAGCTGGAAGTGGGACAGAATTGTGAGGTGTTGAGATGAGGGTGCTGGAAGTGGCAGTTTGTGGCACCTGGAAGCACAAGCTGGGACTGAAAGCACCAACAGCCTTGTCAAAACACACGAGTTCAGCTGCTGGCACAGGGCCACTGTTGCTGATGCAGGAGGGTCTTTTATTTTGTGGCACAAAATACTTGATGAGATGTTTTTAATCAGCATAACTCTGCCTCAGGCCCATAAATTCTGATAACTGGGTGCCCATCTATGTCAGAGTGTTCACAGCAACTGTAACAAAAACTGTATTTCCAATGAGAATTTATTTGTCCCAAGATGACACACTGAGATAAAGTAATTACAGACATGCACAGCCACATATTGGTGTGTACTAATGATCTGAGTTTGCATCTTGAGTTGGGAAGATGCAAAAGGGCAGCTACTCATCTGGGAACTTGATGGATTAATTGCTGCATTAACTGAGAGGACAATATGGTGTTGTGGTGATTTGGGGCCAACAGACCTTGGGAATCACAACTAAATGGGTGTAAACAGCATCTAGTGTTGTTCTGCCAGGGCTTTGAGCTTGATCTGAGGGGGTATAATTTATTATTTTACAAATATTTGAGATCCTGAGTGTGAAACTAAAATTACTCGATTTTGATTTCTTAAGGAGCCACTGTTAAATGTTGTCCAGTTATCCTCCATGGTGTTTACAAAGTCC